AGTATTGTTGGATTGTAGGGCCGGCCCGGTGGTGCACTGCTACAGTGCGCCGCTTGGGAGCGCGGCGGCGCTCCCGCCGAGGGTTCGGATCCCACATACAGACGGTTCCCGCTCACTGGCTGAGTGAGGTGTGGGCGCAACACCGAGGGTTGCGATCCCGTTGCCGGTCCCGGTCCGGTACGGGCGCGACACTGAGGGTTGCGATCCGTTGCCGGACACGAAAAAAAGACAAAAAGACAAAAAAAAAAAAGACCAGCAGGTAGTTTAGTTCCCTTCATTCCTTTGCTCCTAGAATCAATTGTTTTATAGAACTTTTTTTCTTACTGTATTTAAAGGTCACTAAAGATGCTCTGCTATTTTTTTGTTCCCTTTCCCCAACCAGGAGGAGGCTTACTTCAGTTTATTCTTTATCGTAGGCAAGCGTACACCTTGGCGAGGGATACTGCTCTTTGGACCCCCTGGCACAGGGAAATCGTACCTGGCTAAAGCTGTGGCAACAGAGGCCAACAACTCCACCTTCTTCTCTGTGTCCTCCTCAGATTTGATGTCTAAGTGGTTGGGGGAGAGCGAGAAGTAAGTCAGCCATCAGCCATGCTTGCTGGCAGCCGGCAGCTGCTGGCGGTCCAGGTTCCCTGCCCCTTGGAGTCCCCTCCCAGAGGAGCCGCTGTTGGATACTTGGGGAGAGTAGTCAGGAGAGCACTGTCATGCTAGCCTATTGGATGGGACACTGTCCTGACAAAGATAGGTGATAGTGGAAGGGAACCTGGGAGAGAAGAAGTACACAAGAAAGGAAGGGAAGAGAACTAACAATAATTGGGCGTTGAGAACCCTCTATTGGGCATTTTTAGATAGTTAACTTATTCCCCACACCGACTCCCATTTTGCAGATGATGAAACAGGCTCAGAGAAAGGGAAATGACTTGTCCTAGGTCCAGAGCTAATGAACGGACTCTGACTGCTCTTCCTCTGGTACGGCGCTGCCAGAGGATGTGTTACTGCCATTTTTTCTGCAATCCAAGCATGACCGGTCTCAGCCTCCCTGTGGGAAGGGCGAGAGGAGAGAAGTGGGGGCTGGGGCCCTGAGTGGGCGTGTCCGGGAGCGCCCAGATCCTCACCCCATTTCTCACCTTCACAGGCTAGTCAAGAACCTGTTTGAGCTGGCCAGGCAGCACAAGCCCTCCATCATCTTCATCGATGAGGTGGATTCCCTCTGTGGATCCCGAAACGAAAATGAGAGCGAGGCTGCCCGAAGGATCAAAACGGAGTTTTTGGTCCAGATGCAGGGTGCGCACCAGTCCCAGGTCCCCCCTTGGTTCTCGTCCCACGTAAAGCCAGCCCCGGGCTTCATTATTGAGCTGTGGCTGGATTTGGTTGTCCTCAGGGTGGAGGAGAAGCACTTCTCGGCTCCATCTCCTCGGGCCTTAGGTGGGCTGTCATTACAGAAAAAGGTTCCCGAGGCCTTCGCCACCCCAGCCACTCTGCCCTCCCATGGCAGGCGGTGCTGCGGTCTCTTCACCCTGGCACAGCCAGGCCAGGGTGCAGTTTAATTTCAGTTGGGACCCTGCTAGTGGTGGCACAGGGATGGCTCAGTTGATGACACACAAGGTCCCTGAGGTCCGTTCCCACAGGTTCTGACTGACCCTTGCAGGTGTCTTCAGAGTCAACGTCATTGTCCCCCTTTCTCCACAGGGGTGGGGAATAACAACGATGGAACTCTGGTTCTTGGTGCCACAAACATCCCCTGGGTGTTGGATTCGGCCATTAGAAGGAGGTGAGACTTCCCCAGTAGGGGCTGGGGATGATGTCTTCTTCCAGCCATGGGCGGCTTGCTGCTGGCAGCCGTGGGTGCAGCCAGACCCCTTTCTCTGGAGTTTTCCCCATGTCTGCATATCATGCAGAGCCCCTAGTCAAGCTGGGTCCTTGAGGGTCATGTCATCAGCGTTGCTGGCCTGTGAAGTGCATTTCATTTCCCTCTCGAATCTCCATGCCGCCCCTGCCATTAACACCATTCTGACATCCTCTCTCAATTCCATTCCTGCCATGTGCTTGGCTCTAGGTTTGAAAAGCGAATTTACATCCCATTGCCGGAGGAGGCTGCCCGCGCCCAGATGTTCCGGTTGCACCTGGGGAGCACCCCCCACAACCTCACGGACGCCAACATCCATGAGCTGGCCCGGAAGACGGAGGGCTACTCAGGCGCGGACATCAGCATCATCGTGCGGGACTCCCTCATGCAGCCCGTCAGAAAAGTACAGTCAGCAACACACTTCAAAAAGGTAAGTGGCCAGGCCGGCCCGTGGCTCACTCGGTAGAGTGCAGTGCTGATAACACCAAGGCCACGGGTTCGGATCCTATATAGGGATGGCTGGTTTGCTCACTGGCTGAGCGTGGTGCTGACAACACCAAGCCAAGGGTTGAGATCCCCTTACCGGTCATCTTTTAAAAAAAAAAAAAAAAAAAAAAAAAAAAAGGTAAGTGGCCAGCAAGCAGTTGCTTAGAAAACGTTGCAGGAAGTGGGGCATATTGGTTTTCTTTGCCAGCTGCCTGGTCCTGCTCCCTGGCTGCTCGGGTGACACATTCTTGGTCTCCTGGAGAACCAAGGGCAAGTGCCAAGTGAACCTTCTGGCTCTGGGGGAGAGGCTGCACCTGCTGTCTCTTTCCCTGCAGTTCTTCTTACTTGAATGTGACCACCTCAGGTTGTGTGAAAGCAGACAGGGACAGTGTCCTAACACCTGTGCAGCCTCTTCAGCCACTACTGCACTCTTGCACAGGTGGACAACAAACACATACTTGGAAAGTGGTGGATATAAAATTACCGATTGTAAGGAGGACTCATCCATTCTTTCAGCTGATCTTTGTTGAACATCTACTATGGGTCCTACTGTGTGTCTGGCAGTCCTGGGTGCTGGGGGACATCAGTGACCACAGCAGACAAAAATCCCTGCCCTCCCCTTTCTAGTCAGGGGAGACAGAAAGTAAATCAAGTCAACACTGGTTTCTTAAGAGGTGATGAGGGGGGAGATAGAGCAGAGGGAGGGAGCCCAGGAGACTTGGAGGTCACTGCAAAAGGACAGGCCACAGTGAGTGGCATTTGAATCAAGAGTAGAAGGAGGTGAGGGAGTGAGCCTTGGGAATATTTGGGGGAGCATTTTGCCAATGCAGCAGACTTCAGTTGGAAAAAATTTTTTTTTTGTCATCTTTGAGGCCAGCCGCACCGCGCTCAGCCAGTGAGCACTGAGCGCACCGGCCATCCCTATATAGGATCCGAACCCATGGCGGGAGCGCTGCTGCGCTCCCAGCGCCGCACTCTCCCGAGTGCGCCACAGGCTCGGCCCTGAAAAAACATTTTTGATGTCACTGCATTCGTAGTGAGAGTTAGTGGTGTTGAGGAATATATCAAGGCATCTGGGGCTACAGAATGAGATTCTGGGGAACAGTGGCTGGAGTACCTTGCTATCAGCAAGCTTCCAAAATCAAACTTGAGCCTCTTTGACCACTTGGCCCAAGAGTCATGAAGGAGCCTGTTCCCCGTCAGACTCTGATGACCTAGAAACCCTACTGTTACCTTCTCTTTAGGACATTTGTAGAGATCTGAGGTGTCCTGCCTCTCCCCCACTGACGGGCAGCCATTCCAGCCGGTCAAACTCCTGTTTGTTTTCAGGTCTGTGGCCCTTCCCGCACCAACCCTAGCATCCTGATCGATGACCTCCTGACCCCGTGCTCTCCAGGAGACCCAAGGGCCATGGAGATGACTTGGATGGATGTCCCTGGTGACAAACTCCTAGAGCCTGTTGTTTGCATGGTAAGTGACCGGCTGGGAGAGAGGGCTGCACAAAGCCCAGAAAATTGGGGTTTGGGTTCAAGAATAAAAATGAGCTTCTTTGTGTCCTGGTATGTCGTGGCACCTCCTAAACAGAGAATGGACTTTGTTGCTCTCGGTAGCTGGGGCTCCTGCCATGAGACTCAATAGGGGCCAGGCAAGAGGCAGTAGGCTTAGCATGTTATATTCTTCAGCAAGAAGAGTAAAGCCCAGATAATGTGACCACATCACTCCATGGGTTTGGCTCATAGGAACAGTAAGTGTAAGGCAGCATGGATTGATTTGATGCCATCGTGAAGGCAGCCCCTTCATCCGAATAGTCTGGACCTGTCGTTATCCTGTAGTTTGCTGACTCTGTTGCCAGTTCTGTCCTGGCAGGTGTCTGCCTTTGTGGCCACAGTGGTGGGCCTGCAATTAAGAAAGCTGCTACAGGGGCCGACCCCGTGGCGCACTCGGGAGAGTGCGGCGCTGAGAGCACAGCAGCGCTCCCGCCGCGGGTTTGGATCCTATATAGGGATGACCGGTGCGCTCACAGTGCTCACTGGCTGAGTGCGGTGTGACCGGTCTCAAAAAAAGGACAAAAAAAAAAAAAAAGAAAGCTGCTACGTTAAGTTATGCCAGAGCTTAGGCTCCCAGAGCCGAAGTAGGCCTGTCTGGAAATCATCCGAGCTGTCTCGGGCAGGAGGCAGGTTCACATGTGGCAGCTACAGGGAGCACTGCATTTGGGTGACTTTGAAGGCAGGCCTCTTCCCACCCTAGACTGCACGGTCATGCGGCCCGGCTCCTCAGCCGCCTGCTCTTGTCTCTGCAGTCGGACGTGCTCCGGTCTTTGGCTACCACCCGGCCCACCGTGAATGCAGACGACCTCCTGAAAGTGAAGAAATTCTCAGAAGACTTTGGACAGGAGAGTTAGAAGCTGCTTCACTTGGGTGATGCTGAAGGTGGGAGATTGCCTGGAGCAAATCCACAGCCCTGTCCACGCTGGTGGACAGACAGGGCCTTAAGGCTCATCCTAAAGTCACTACAGTGTCCCCTCTGCTGTCTGGCCCCCAGCCAGGGAGCAGAAAGGAAGGGCCTCCGCAGCACAGAGACGCTCCACCGCCCGGCGGCACACAGTGGCTCCTGGCTCTTCCTCTCCTCTCCTCTCTTGGATGCTCACCAGCCCCTTCTCCTGTCCCTCCTGTCTTTTTAAAAAAATCTTGTTCCCCTAAATTAATGCTGCTTGGATTTCCGTCATGTTTATAAACAAACTCACCTGGAAGCACCAAGGAATGGGAGCAGCCGTGCTGTGGGAGGCACAGCAGTCCTCCAGATGGCTGGCTAGGTCCCCCCGCCCCTGTTCCTTTTATGCCCAAGTTTTGCTCCTCGAGAACAGACGGTCTAATGCCCATGGGTCCCCTGCCCAAGCTCTGCCTGCAAAGAGCAAGAGTAGGAAAAGCCATTCCCACACTCCTGGGTTTGCATCCAGGGCCCTGTGGCTTCCTTGCAGCAGGAGATGGTTTCTGTGAGCACAAAGCCGCTTTGGTCAGAACGAGGGAAGGCAGCTGGGCAGGTCTTCACTGCTGCCTTTTCTTCCTGTGAATGTGAGAACACTGAATGCAGCCACTGCCCCGGGTCCCTATCCTGGAAATAGTCAAATAAATCCTTTTCCCTTCTTGAGCCATCTGAGTGATCTGTTTAACTCTTGTCTGGGGCTCTTTGAGGCCACTCTTGCTTCTGATAAAAAGACTGGTTTCTCTCTCTGCTCTCTGTCCTCTCCTCTTCTCTTTAGTAGAGCAGGAAGTAGGAGTGCTCACCAACTGTCACAGTTCTCAGGCCTTCTCTCCAGTCACCTGTGCAGGGCCCCCTCCCCATAAGGCCTCAGAAGTTTGGCTGGGGGTGTTTAAGAGACCTGGACAGTTCTTCCTGTTGTCCAGCCTCCAGATCAGGGACTACAAGCTGAGAGGCCTGTGAGCCAGACTTGGCCTGTAGCTATGTTTGGTCTGCTGTCAACACTTAAAAATCAAGTGTATGGATGTAAAGATTCAGATTCTGGCTTCTGGAAGATGAGGTTAGGTAACGCTGGGCCTGTGTCCCCCTGAGGCAGCCTATCAGCTGCTGCTGAGCAGGGGCTGTCCTGTTCAGGAGGGGTCACACTTCCCCTCTTACTTGTGTTGCCTGCCTAGGTAGTCCCTGTGGCCATTTGAATTGGTGACCCCTGACAGACACCAAGGTCCAGAGCTGGCAGCCCTGGAAACGCATCTGACAGGGAGCAGAAGAAACAGAGGTGCTCACGTTTGTCCCCTGCATGTGAACACACTGAAAAGGCCTGGCATAGTAAATAAAGCTGGTAGCCTATGAAGTGGGGGGTGTTCTAGCCTTTCTTCCCCCTCCAAAACCCATTATTACTTCTCTATCTTTAAAACCTGAATAGCGGGCCAGCTGGATAGCTCAGGTGGTTAGAGTGTGGTATAACACGATCAAGGGTTAGGAGCCCCTCACTAGCCAGCAGCCAAAAATAAAGATAATAAGTAAAACCTGAATGGCCAGAGCTGATGGCATGGCCAACTATCTGGTCGCAATGGCCTTGCTCTGTGACGTCTTTGCTCTGGTTAGGATCCTCCGCTGAACTGAGCTTACTTTTGACAGTAGCTCGAAACTTCACTCTGGTGCTGCTTTCCAATCCCACATTACCTGGAGTATCAGCGGGCCTGACCTCCAGGTGATATTTATGCGTTAGCTGGGGCTGGGTTCTTTGTTGCTTAGGAGTTTTCACGTAGTTCTTGATTAGTTATGATGTGCCCTCAGCCACCGGGTAGTTTGCAAATGCTGGAATAAAAGTCAGGATATGAAACCGTCCCATCTGTACTGCTTTCACTTTAGCTAATTATGAGTGTTTTTAAGAATTTACCTCCAGTTACCTTTACTTGGATCACAAGGTCCTTGCTCCTTTTTTTTTTTAAACCTGCTTCCTCACTTCTACTGCTTAGACAAACACCTTGACAAACCATAGGGGTTAACACAGTCTTTAGGGCTGCTGTGGCTCATCCTCATAGATGCAGCTCCAGGTGCACCTGCCTTTCCGTTTCTATCTCAATGACCAGCAACAGGAGCCACTACTGATGCATGGACTTGGGCTGCAAGCAGATGACCTGACATTGTCTGTGTTAAACATGTGCTTAATATATACTGAGGAATTGTTTTCCTAAATACTCTGAAATTCACTTCTCTACCTGGATTCTGTTCTAAACCTGCCTACATTGGCTTTCACTGTGGAAGTTGATTTCTAAAACTTTCATTAGCTCAAGATGCTGGTTTGTGTGTATGTGTGGTTTTTGTGGCTGATACCTGTCTGAGGTGGCAAGAGATTCTTTATTGGAAATGCAAGGATTTGTTGCTACTTATCTATACCACAAAGGCGTTACCAAGGGCTGTTAACTTCAGAAGACTATAAGAAAACATTGCACTTTTGCAGGAGCTACTGAACATTGTCCAAGAGAAAACAGTCTCACTGAACTCTTTCAATTTTTATAAAGACCCATGTTTTCAGTATAAACAAGCACTTTCTACAAACTTCCCCAAAGGCTGAGTCTCTGACCTTGGGGCAGTGCTTGGACATGACTCCTCTCCAAAGTCTGACTGCACCCACAGCCAGTACACTTCCTTAGGCCCCAAGAGAAAGCCATGGGGAAGAGTGGATCTTTCTTTCCTGGGTTCATTTAATTAACAGCCATTTATTTATTTATTTATTTATTTTTAAAAGATGACCGGTAAGGGGATCTTAACCCTTGAATTGGTGTTGTCAGCACCACGCTCACCCAGTGAGCTAACCGGCCATCCCTATGTGGGATCCGAACCCTTGGCCTTGGTGTTATCAGCACTGCACTCTCCCGAGTGAGCCATAGGGCCAGCCCATTAACAGCCATTTAAAACACTTTTTCTGTAAACAACTTACTGGACTTCCTACTACTTGTGTACTTTCATTTTGAGAACTTTGTTTGGCCAGAGTACCTGCTTTGCAAATCTCAACATAAAAATGAGGTAGGCCTACTATCTAAAACTGGAGTTCCTTCACCTTTTGAGGCCATCCCTATGTGGGATCCGAACCCTTGGCCTTGGTGTTATCAGCACTGCACTCTCCCGAGTGAGCCATAGGGCCAGCCCATTAACAGCCATTTAAAACACTTTTTCTGTAAACAACTTACTGGACTTCCTACTACTTGTGTACTTTCATTTTGAGAACTTTGTTTGGCCAGAGTACCTGCTTTGCAAATCTCAACATAAAAATGAGGTAGGCCTACTATCTAAAACTGGAGTTCCTTCACCTTTTGACAAAACTCTTTTATAAACACTGGTCAGTGTGTTGCTAATTTATTCTTCCAAAGTAAGTGTGGTGACCAGGAAGCACCAGTTCTGCTTTCTGTTTCTGTCCTGACAGGAAAGGGCTCACTGTTCCTTCTGTCATCACCTCCTCCCCAGCCCAGCTCCAGAGCCTCCACCCAGACTGAGCCAAGAACCAGCTGCTCGAGGGATCTCAGCAGCAAAATCTTTCCCAAGTTTGTTAACGGTGGAAGGCAAAAGGTGGAGACCTAAACTATATCTGAACCTATTAAAATGTGTGTACTTATGTTAGTACTGCCGTTAAACACTTCCTTGAACTGGGACCATTCTGTCGTGTGTTTTACTTCCACAAGCAAACTGGTGTCCTAGGCAAATCAAGGACACGCACACAAGCCCTTTGTAAAAATAAGAACTCTGTGAAGACAGTCAACCACAGCCTTACCTTCATTTTTAACACCAGTTTTCAGATATTTGGGCCCTACATTATTATCAAATCTTGGCTTTGGGATTATAAAATATAAAATCATTTCTACTGAGTGTGAATTTACTTGCCCCATCTATCTCCATATAAAATGGTCAGGAAATGTCCACTCCTTCAGGGGGGATATTTTTCTCCTCAAGTTGTAGGCAGTATTTTATCCACAGCCGGTTTGGGGACAAACATTTCTAACATCTTTCTCCAACTTGGTTTGGCATTCTTTGGCAGTCCACCGTTTCTGTCAAATCCGGGCCAATGCCAGGTTGATGCCAAGTAAGACGGGTCCAGCTCAAAGACAAAATGTCTGCATCTTGATTTTCAGAATCCTCGGCCCCAGCAGGAAAGCTTTAGTCGTTCACCGCCATCCAGTGGACGTTTGTAAACGTCCTGCTGTCCATCTTGTCAATGAACAGGCAGCCCTGCAAGTGGTCCATCTCGTGCTGGACGATGCGAGCCGCCCACCCACTCGCCTGCCACACCACCTGCTCTCCTCTCGGGTCCAGCCCTGCAAAGGAAGTTACAGCCTGGGTGAGGTGCGGACGTGCTGAACTGCATCACTCTCAGCCTCCTTCCCTACTCCACAAGAACATAAGAGCAAATGTAGGTAGCAGCCCCCATCCTTCCACGAAAAGATGCCTCAACTCTGCCCCTTACCAAGTATTCAACCCGCTTCCCGACGCTTCGCCTGGGGGAACTCCAGGGTCAGCACCTGCAGCAGTTCGTTGGGCTCACCATGGGGCTGAGATGAGAAACGACCTTGCTAAGGTGCTTCCCTCTGCACACTCTCCCACTTCTGAAGTGCCGCTGTTGGCTTTCGATTCCCAACAAAGGTATTTTGGCTTGGTATGACATAAAATAAAGGGACACCACTGGCTTGCGGAACCTCTTGGCCCAAGTGGCTTGTTTGTTCAGGAGGAACAAGCATCCCAAGCCCAGCGGAGAGCCACATTCCGCAATACATCCTGTGGTCTGATAAAATGGGAATGGCTTATCACCCTGGGCTGGGCAAAGCTGGGTCCCACTTCTCCAAGCCCGCTGTGCCAGATCTAAGTAAAGCTGAAGAGTTTGTGTGTGGGAGAGACAGGGACAGCCAGCGAGCAAGAGAGCATAAAGCAGAGGCTGGGGCGTAAGGTAACAGCGGAAGTAGGTCGCCCTCCCCACCCCATGTCCCATCTGAGCGGCTCTGCTCTCACCGGAGCCTCCTTCCCCACCGCAATCTGTCAGGCCTGTCCAGTCCACTCCCGGGTCCTGCCTTGTCCCTGCGGAGGCTCCGCGATCAACCACCGCCACCCTGCCCAAGCTGTCCCCCGCGCTTTGCGGAAACGAATTCGGCGGCTCCGGGGCCGCCCCACCACAGGCGGGAAGAGACGCGCGCGCTCAGCAGCCGCCCCCGGGCCCCGCCGCCCGCACCTGAGATCTGCACGGCCTGGAAGCGGGGCACGCAGGCCAGGAAGCCGGCGACGCTCTCGCAGCCCTCGGGGAAGGTGAGCAGGCGGCTGTCCAGCACGCGCAGGCTGGGGTTGACGAACACGCGCAGGGGGAAGGGCTCCATCTGGCGAAGCGCGCGCAGGCGCGGCGCGCAGGCGCGGCAGAGCGCTTCGGGCAGCTCCAGGGCCAACACCTGCAGCGGCACCCCCAGCTGCGGAGCGCTCAGGCCCACGCAGCGCCGGTGCCGCATCACCTGCACCAGCCGCCGCACCAGCAGCTGCAGCTCGGGCCCCGCCAGCTGCGCCGGCTCCACTGGGGCCGCCACGGTACGCAGCACAGGGTCGCCGACCTGGCACACGTGCGGGTACGGCGGCTCCGGCGCGCCCCGCACCAGTCGCCTCACGTACTGCCAGTAGGAGCGCCGGCGCGCCGGGCCCTCGAGGCCGTCCGGGGAGGCCGTGGAGCTGCAGGGCCGGGCGCAACCAGGCCCTGCCAACGCTGCCTTCTGCAGGCGCTGCCCCAGCAGCAGCCCGCCGCACAGCCGACCCATGGCGCGCCCAAGCGGTAACTCGACAGCCCTGCCCTTCCCCGCCAGCCCCCGTAGCCGCCGGGGACGCCGGGAAGTGTAGTCCCCGCGCGCCTTCCGGGAGTGCCGCCAGCGAGAGGACAGCGGCCGGGCGGTGATCATCAGTCGGTTTTATTGTTTAATTCCACCCATGTACAAGAGCAACCGGGAAGCTCCCCCTTTCGTTTTCCTCCCACGAGTCTGTCCTGTGCATTCCTGGGCGAGAGGGCCCTGGCCCCAGCACCGGCAGCGACTCTGTCCCCCGCAGACGCTGCCTGGGAGCCCTGGCCGCCCGCGCAGTCGGTACTGCACCCCATTCTGGGCGCTGGCACACTGGCTAAGGGCTCACACTGGCTAAGGGCTCACACTGGCCGGCCGCCCCTGCAGCGGCTCCCTGGATTCTGCCTCCTCTTGTCCACCCTCAAGGTGAGCTGCAGTGGCAGGCTCGAGGCTTGAAGGCTCCTCGTCGGCAAGCTCCGGTGCTGGAGCTCTGAGCTCAGGTACCAGCTCCTTTTCATCCAGAGGAAAGACCATCTCTTTCTTTGGCAGGATAAAGGCTAGAGGCTCCTGGATAACGCTCATGTTCACATGCCCAAGGTTTCCATACTTGGAGAGCTGAGTGGGTGGAATGCCTGATCCAGACGGTAGGAAAAGTGAAATGGAAAAAACATTACAAAAAAATTCAAATATAGAAGTCACAGGAAAAAAAAAGAAAAAAAAAAAAAACCACTTAAGAGGAAGGAACATACACAATTATAATTATATTTCAATGAAGAAAAAACCGTCTGTGTTATATGGGACGGGAAGCCACCCTGTAATGCTGGTAATCTGGAGCAGCACCACGTGGACTGGGTGGAGCTCTGAGCCAGAGAACCTGAGTAAGCACCTTTCAGTGAGCACGGGCTTCCCTGTGACAGACCCAAGGGAAAAGCTGGGGCCAAAGTGGAAAGCAGCCACTCTAAGTGAATGTGATCCTTGACCCACTGCCCTTCGGGAAGTTGTGCCTTTCCCAACCCCCAGTACCAACATCAGAGGATACAGAAGTGAAAGCAAATTGGACAAAATATTTAAAAACCCCTTCTCTGAACACTTCATATAAATGGAATCACACAATATGTGGTTCATTTATGACTGGCTTCTTTTACTTAGCCAGATATAACCACATATTGTATGATTCCATTTATATGATATGTCCCCAAAAAGCAAATCTATAGTAAGAGAGAGTAGGTTGCCAGGGGCTAAGGGTGCAATTGAGGAATGACTACAAATGAGCATGAGGGATCTTTTTGGGGTGATGGAAATGTTCTAAAATTTGATGGTGGTAATGGTTGCACACCTCTGTACATTTACTAAAAAACAATGACAAACAAATGGGTGAATTATTTAGTATGTGAATTACATATCAGTAAAACAGTTTAAAAAATCTTCTTTCTCTTACCTAAAGTCTGTGTTATCTGAGCTGGTGGAAAAAGGACTTGGAGACAGCGATTTAAATAAGGGACAAGGTCTTCCAGGAAGACAGTGCAGAACTGGACAAAGAGCTCTTGCTCCCCACTGCTGAAGGCGGCCTCTTCTGCACGATGAAAGGCCAGGATTATTTTGGTTACCTAAAAGACAAGGGCACCATCAATCACTGGGGCAGGCTATCACCATTGGCAGTGTGTGAAACTAAGCAGAAACATTCAGCTGTCAAGTTTTCATGAAGAAAATCATTCCAAATAGTATATGATTTTACTATCTTGTTTAAACTCAGAACTGTGGTCAATTTCCACAGTTATGTCACTTCACTGATGTATTTCTAACCCAACTTGTTTTATTTCTGGCATAGTTTCCAGTTTCAGTGGAGAAACATAATGAAATTATACAGTGAATACATGGTTCTTGACTCCCATGGGGGATGGACCAAAACTGTAGGATCCAGAAAAATGAAGCAAAACTATAAAAGGTTTCTACTGAGTAAGGCCTTTGAGGCTCCAGAAAACTAGAAGTGGTAGAGAAGTATAAAAAAGAAAAAAGCTAGAAAAGAGGTTCCATAAACAACAGAACAGCCTCGCTGTCCATTACAGTCACAGTAACAGGGTTAAGAACACAGACTCTGGTGCTGGACTTCCTGGTTCAAGTCCCAGCTGTGCACTTGGTTCTGTGACTTCCAAATAATTAGTTAAGCTCTCTGTGACTCAGTTTCTTATCCATAAAGTAGGGCCAATAAGAGGACCTACCTCAAAGGACTGTAAGGATCAAGTCTTAATAAGTGTAAAGTATGATGAATGCTACCTGGCATGGTGAAAGTGCTATATAAATGTTTGCTGATTACTATTATCTGAATTTCATTGCCTCTAAAAAGCTTTGATGCCCTTGCTTTCTTGCTCTTACAGGAGGACATCAACAGAAAGATTTTATATAAGTCACAGTTGCCAGCTGGCTGACAGCCATTAACTATAAGAAGCATCCCAATATCTAATGATTTAAATGTGTAAAAGTCCCTATACCAGCCAGCACCAAACACCCCCCCCAAATATGTAAAAACTGTGCACCATACTAGGTATATTATCACTATCACTTGTGTTAGGCTCTTGTAGTTCCCACCCTCAGTATCCACTCTTTTGTATAATCCTCTCTCAATCTGAGATTTGCACTATTTTTTTTTTTTTCTTGACAGCTGGCCAGTATGGAGATCAAACCCATGACCTTGGGGTTATAGGGCTGCGCTCTAACCAATTGAGCTAAATGGCCAGCCCGAGATTTGCTTCTAACCAATAGAATATGGCAAAGGTGAAGGATTTTGCAGATGTAATTAAAGTCCCTAATCAGTTGACTATGAATTAATCAAAACGGTGATTATCTTGGGTGGGTATGACCTAATCAGATGAACTTTTTAAAAGAGGAAACTTAAAAGTTAAGAGATGTAAGCAGGAGAGATGATCTCCTTCTGGCCTTGAGGAAGCAAACAGCCATACTGTGAACTGCCTGTAGAGGGCACAAGCCCTAGGAGCTTAGGGCCTCAGTCCCGCAACTGCCAACCTGAGTGAGCTTGAGAGGGAGTGCTGAGCTACACATGAGACTGCAGCCTGGCTTACACTTTGACTGCAACCTTGTGAGCAGAGGACCCAGTTTTGCTGCACCTGGACTCCTGACCCTCAGAAACTGGGAGATAATAAATGTGTTGTTTTAAGTTGCTAAATTTGTGGGGACTTGTTATGCAAAAACAGAAAACAAATACATTACTGAATCTTTACTGCAGGTAAGCTCCTTCAGGGATAGTTCTAGGTCCCACGAAGGGGGAACTAACCAGAGATTCTCAACCAGAGAAACCTCTAAAACCACTCTAAACCTCTCCAAGTCAGCAGGCACCACTGTCATATGGACTGGTTTACTACAAGCCTGTTACCAAAGAAGGCCCAGGGTAGTAGAAAGCCAACAGGACTTCTGGTCAAGATGGCGGAATAGACGGTCCCCAGCGTCACTCTCTCCCACAAATCTATGAATTTACAACTATGAAAACATAACATCAACCAAGCTGGGGCCACTAGAGCTCAGGTGAAGAGGAGGAGAGACCTATGGAACTCATGAAGGCGGGAGAAACCACAAAGATAGAAAGAAAAAACTGCTCTTAGCGTTTCAGGCCATGTCCACTTTAATGCTGGAGCACATGGAGGAGCCAGCAGATGCCGCAGCTGTGCCCTTTAGATGGAATACTTGGAGGCGGCAGGGGAGAAGAGGACTTTGGTGGCTCCCAGGACAGCAAGACCACTAACAGGGTTCCCGTGGACCCACACAGGAGTGAGAAGCCAGAACAGCTGAAAAAGGGGAGCCACTCAGAGGCCGGTGGGTCATCACAAGAGACCGGTACATGGCCTGTCCCATGGGAAGTGTTTGGAGCACGGGTGGTGGGGGAGACGGGCCCACCCGGGGAACACTGGGACACAGCAAGGACAGCCAATCCACCCCCCAATCAGCACAGGACCGCTCAAAGGAGACTGGTCGGGAATGCAGAATTGCATGGGGTGCAGTTTGATGAAAAGATTCAGGCCCAGACCACAGTTTCTATACAACCCAGGTGCACCAGGTCTCTGGAGAGCCGGAAGTACCTGTAAGGTCAACCATTAAACCCTGAGCTGCACAAAAAGTCTTTCCTAGGGAAACAGCAGCAAAGCGGCAATTTAGCTCAACCACACAGCTCAAGTACTGATTCCCACAGGAAGTTCCCCTGTTTTAGAAGCAAGCAAAGGACAAAAACTTAGTTCTGGCCCAGGCACACCATGAGTGCCTTGGGGCCCACCAAAGGACATAAGGCATGGAGCCAGGGGCAGGACCCTGCCCACAACCACTTATACCACCAGCACCTCGGGTTCCCAGATGGAAACCTGAGGACTGGAGCCAAGGACCAGACCCCGCTCCCACATACAGGCATGCTGTGACAGTGCCTCAGGGCCCCACCTGGGGGCCCAAGGCATGGAGAAGGGGACCGGACCTCCCTCCCACAACCAGGCACACCACACCAGCACCTCAGGGTCTGCCCAAGGACCTGAGTCATGACGAAGGGGACCGGACTCCCCTCCCACAATCAGGCACACAGTGCCAGTGCCTTGGGGGCCACTCAGGGATCCACGGCATGGAGAAGGGAACTGGACCCCCCTCCCACAACCAGGCACACTGTGCCAGTGCCTTAGGACCCACTCGGCGACCCAGGGCATGGAACTGGGGGTCAGACAACTAGGCACACTGCCAGCACGACAGTGCAGGCTAAAAACATCTCCTCCATGTGGGTGGCCCACCATAGCTACCACGATAACCATGGCTGCTGACAAGGCAGATAGATGCCACAACCACCATGCAGATGGTCCGCCAGCCACTGCAGTGAGTTGACACAAGGAGAGTCACCAGCAGAGATAAAGAAAGGAGGAGGATGTCTGTCTCCACAGAGCCCATTTCATAGTGATGGAAGAGACATCTGCTCTGATAGTATTGGGGGACCTGATCACACCTCTCAGCATTGGACAGATCATTTGGGCAGCACATCAACAGAGTAACCATTATTCTTTCAGAAGGAGAGAAGAAATCTAGGGTGATTAGAGGGGGAAGGTGGGAGAGAGGGGGATGAGGAGAGATTGGACAAGGGGCATAAAGAATAATTATAATTTGTAACAATATACATGCTAGTAATATTGATTTGATCAACATATCTCAATGTTGAAACGCAAAAATATGTATAATCAATTTTGATTCAATAAAAATTAAAATTGAAAAAAAAAAAGAAAGCCAACAGAATGCACTCACTTTGACAAGGGCTTCCTCCAAGGTCCCAGTCACGTCCTGTGCCAAAGCCACAGGGCAGCAGAGGCGCAGATCGTTGAAGGCAACCAGAATATTGTTGAGGAAACAGGCAAGGGGTGGGAAGTCTAAGAGCACCATTGGTGGCTGCAGGGTCCCTGGCTGAGTGGCTGACACAGCAGCAGGCATAGTACTGCTGCTCAGGATGGCTGGAGCTGACATGAGGGTGTAAGAGTTCATTTCATCCTGGAATTTCTCCACTGCTTCCTGAACTGCTTTCTGGAAAGTTCTGATGGCTACCCGCTGGAAAACAGGAGCCAACTGGCCCCGGAAATCAGCCCCCACCCGGCTGAAGGACAGCCCAAAGTACATGCACTGGCCCAGCAGAGTGTCCAGGCGGCTGCCTATCCCCTGGTAAAGGTCGGTCTCCAGCACCTGCAGGAACTGTGAGACTTTCTGCAGCACCCAGCCATGGAAGATGGCACTCTTGTTCACGGTGTGCTCACCCATGGCAGGCGGCAGCCGTGGGTCATCATCTGAGAAGATGGCACGGTACTGGGTGATGATATCAAAGAGATGGACACGGCAGGCCTCAATGGTTTTTGTGATATGGAAATAGGGATCATCATTAGGAATGGCAGTCAGGATGGAACGGAGCCAAGCATCCCGGGCCTGAAGAAACTTCACCCTCAGCTCGGCCTCAGTGAAGATGTCCATGCGCCGCAGGTAGCCAATGACACGGAGGCAGGCAGGGAGCTGGATGCTGGTCCTCAGTTGCTGGATCAGCTGGCTCAGCATCAGCTGCATAGACTGGCGCACTTCATTCACAATGCCCTGACAATAGAGAGTGAGTCATACCATACTAGGAAGGACACTCTCTGGAACCCATTCCACTAACCCTAAATATTGCAGACCAACATTCCCATGGCTTTCCTGACACATGAAGTACATTTCCTAAAGCTCAGGCTTGCAGGTCACCAACAAAGATCTGGTTGGGTAACTCTCCTCCTAAAATGCTTAAAATCCTCCAATGAATTCCCATTACCACCAATAAAATTCCAACTACTCACCATGGCCTAGAGGCCCTACCTCATTCTCCATCTTCATCTGCTTCCTAATCCTGTCCCACTGCTCACTACAGTCCAGTCACACTGGCTGTCTTTGTATCCCTTAAACACTTGTTCCCACTTCAGCTCTCGTACTTGTTCTTCCCACTTCCTGGTTTGTTCTCTATCCAGTCTTTGCAGAGCTGACTCCTTCTCATCATTTAGGTCTCAGCTTAAACATCACTTCTAGAAAGGCTTTTCCTGACCAACCTACCTAAAGTAACCCACCCTAGTCCTCCTCTGCCCCATTCTGATTTTCTTTAGACACATTATGACTATCTGAAATGGTCATATTATTTATTCATTTCTTTATCAATTATCATACCTCCCACTAGAATGTGTAAGCTTCACGAGAGCCAGGGCCTTATCAGCTTTGTTTACACCATATCCCCAGCACCTAGACCAGTGCTTGGCACATGATTAATACTATCTTTGAATAAGTGAATGAATGAATGTTTCATGTTCCAGCCTGCCTGGCTGGCAAAAACTCATGTGAAACATGCTGGGGTTTCTGCCTAAAGGTTTAGTCATGACCAGAGAATTAATGATTACTAGAATATCAGTTTGAGTCCTCTCTGGGCAAAATTTGGATACCTGGATGACAGGGATGGAGGAGTACTTCCTTTCCAGTCGGCGTACATAGGCTGCAAGCTCCAGAGCCTCTTCATAATAGCTGTTCCGCACACAGGTGTCCATAAGCTGAGGAATCTCCAGGATTTCCAGGATTTCCGTGTGCCGATTTAGAGTCAGAGTGTTCATCCGGCGGTTGGAGCTGATCTCCTCGGCCTCCTTCACAAAGTTCCTAGTAAGAATCAGGAGAATGTTGGTCCCTCACTGCTCTGCACCCAAACCTTAGCTACAGTTGCCAAACACTTACTATTACGGGGCACTGGGCTGGATGGTTTATCTGATTTAACCCTCAAACCAAACTTATGAGGTAAGTGCTATTACTCTTGAGAAAACTTTTAGTCCTAGAGAGGTTAAACAACTTGTCCAAGATCACACAGAATAAAACTGACAGCTCTGAATCCAGATCTGCCACTTACTAGCTGTGCTACTTACTAGCTAATGTAGTTAGCCTTTCTGAAACTGTTTCCTCATTGATAAGAGGTGAGAATTAAATGAGATGGCTGTAAAGCACTTAATGCAGAACCTAACAGAGTAAATATGTCAGAATAAAAACAGTAAAAGAGACACAGAGTAAAATGTTTCTTAAATAACAGCTATTATGATTTTCATAATAAAGCACTACCTAGCCTAGAAGCCACAACCCTACCCCAAGTTCCCTCAGGTCTTAATCTTCTCCTATGCTATCACTCAACCTTAGTCCCTGCTACAGGTCTACGTTCTACATTTCTTGTCTGTTTTTGCACAGAAATGCTTTATCAAGTCCCCTTTCTGAGGCATGCAAGGGTACAAAAGTTGTTGCCAAATATCCAGAGGCTCAAAAAAAAAAAAAATTAAACTTTAATCATGAAGGGCTAGAAGGCAGGACTAAGGATAGAGATAATGGATTAAGGCTCTAGAGAGATGAAATATGGCTCAAAAAGGAGGGACTTACAGATAATCTTTGGTGCCCCCAAATGGAAAGATTTGTCAGCTTCTTATCAATGAAAGTTTTAAAGCAGATGACCTCTAGTCCGAGCTGTTGTTTATGTAAGGATACTTCAAAAAGTTCACGGAAAGATGGCTGTCTTTTAATTCTAGTTTTTTTACGAACTTTTTGGAGTACCCTCGTATATGTAACTACATAAATATGCACATATATTAAGCTGACATTTCCGGGGTGTTAACTATATCAGACCCAATGATAAGCGCTTTTCATGGATACTCTTTATTTAGTGCTCACATAAGCCATACATGCGAAGGATATGCTCCTGGGTTCCAATTCCGACTTCGAAACTTCCTAGCTGTCCTTGGACAAGTCACCAACCTGTGTCTCAACTTCCTCATATGTAAAATGGGAATAAGAGTACCTACCTCAAAGGTTGTTGTGAAGTTTAAATGGACTAACAAAGCGCTCAGCGGAAAGCCTGACACATGATAAGCGCTATGTAAACATCAGCTACTTCTATCACATTATATCACCGCAAATGTCAGCTATTACATTTACAAGCCCCTTTAGCGCCAGGCCCGCCGCACCTGCAGCTCTGCTGGAAGCTGGGCAAGCGGTCGAGCAGGCGGCCGAGCGACGCCTCCACGTCGCCAAAGAGGCGGTGGATGCGTTCGGTGCACTCGGCGCCGCGGATGAAAGTCTTGTAGTTGGCGAAGGCCAAGTCGCGCGTCTGCTGCAGCAGCTGCGCCCGCTCCTCAGCCAGGCGCTCGGGCTCGCGCCGCAGCTTCTCCAGCCCCGAGCCGCTCAACTCTCGGAGGTAGCGGCCCACATCGGGCCGTTCCCGCCACTGGGCCTCGGGAAAGCGGTCCCGGAACAGCGATGCCAGGAGCCCTTCATCCTCCACCTCCCCAAGGGCCGCTGCCGTCGCTGTCGCCGTGGCCAAGGCCGTGGTTGAGGACGAGATAGTCGCCGTCGCCGCCATCTTCCCGGCAGGCGCATCACTTCCTCTCCGTAACGACTAGCGCGCTGGCTTCGAACCCTGGACCGGAAGCAACACGTGCCTATTTCCTGTCTCTATGATTTCTCGTCCGTCCGGCTTGATCTGCCGGCAGTCCTCCAGGCTAAGGGGCGGTAGCGTGAGGAACGCGCGGCACGGGGCTAGAGAGGCAGCTTTGGAGTTGCCAGGGAGCAGCTGGCGGCCGACTTCCGTTTCCGGCTACCGAGGCACGAGGATCTGTAGTTCCAACCCGGCGTGAAAATGCGGCCTTTGACTGAAGAGGAGACCCGCGTAATGTTTGAGAAGATCGCGAAATAGTAGGAGCGCGCGGGGCGGAGGAGGGAATGTGTGCGTGGTAGGGGGGGGCGTGGTCGTGGAGTGGGGTAGCGCGGCGCCGGGACGAGTCCGTTCGGCCGCAGCCTCCAGTCATCCTTTTGCCCTCAGCATCGGGGAGAATCTTCAGCTGCTGGTCGATAGGCCCGATGGCACTTACTGTTTTAGGCTGCACAACGACCGAGTATACTACGTGAGGTGAGGCGGGGCCGGGCGGACAGCATGGACCCGGGGTGGTGTCCTGGGTCCCATCAGCCTCCCTCGGTCCGACACTTTTCTCCCCTTACCCCTTTAGTGAGAAGATTCTGAAGCTGGCCGCCAATATCTCCGGGGACAAGCTGGTGTCGCTGGGGACCTGCTTCGGAAAATTCACTAAGACCCACAAGTTCCGGTTGCACATCACAGCTCTGGATTACCTTGCACCCTATGCCAAGGTTTGTGGGGTGGTTTCTGGTTTGCCACTGGGGGTGAAGTCAAGGATTAGGGTCACATCAGAACGCACATTACCGGGCAGCTCTTTTCCATGGAGTCCCTGCCAGTGCTGGGTAAGTGCCAGCACATGGAGATGTTTGTAGGTCTTGCTGCTTGGGCACAGTGAGAGCTAGGAGGAGGAGTACTGTGCAGCAGTGTAGTAGCTATCTCCAGCAAAGTAGAAAAGCCTCTGCGGACCCAGCTCAGGATCAAAAAGCAAGTAAGTGGCTGTGATGAGGATAATGGGGTCCAGAAAAAGAGCTGTTAAACTGTCCATGGCAGAAGTTGTTTGTAGAGTTGAGGAAAGAACTTCCTGGTACCGTTCTGTTCAGGGGATGAACAATTTGAGGGAAATATGCATCTCTATGTCTCTTCCTTAAAATTCTTTCAATAAATTAATCGCAGATTGTGCAGCTAGCTTGTCTGCAAGAGTGTAAGTATTAGTGTTTTTGTATCTCTTGGATTTTTCCGTTTCTTACAGTATAAAGTGTGGATAAAGCCTGGAGCAGAGCAGTCCTTTCTGTATGGGAACCATGTGTTGAAATCAGGTCTCGGTCGAATCACTGAAAATACTTCTCAGTACCAGGGAGTGGTGGTGTACTCCATGGCAGATGTCCCTTTGGTGAGTAGAGATGGTAGCTGTTAAAAGTCAAGTAACTTTTTATTCAAGAAGGATGTATTTCTAGTCTGTGTGCCTGAGAGACTAAATTCTCAGCAACTTTTGAATTCCTAAAAGACAAGAAATGTGGTTATTTTTCCATCTTTGTTATTTCCAGCCGTCAATATGGGCTTATTGAATAACTTGAGTGAATTGGTGTCTCTTCTTTTGAATCCCAGGGTTTTGGGGTGGCAGCAAAGTCTACACAAGACTGCAGGAAAGTAGACCCCATGGCGATTGTGGTATTTCATCAGGCAGACATTGGGGAATATGTGCGGCGTGAAGAGACGTTGACTTAAAACAAAGTCATCACAAGGACTTTTGGCTGTGCGCAAGGGCCTAGTTTTTTTTGTGCGTCTGCATAGACTCCACCATTATGTTGAGTTTTGTCAACACTGGGACCGTCTTCAGGGACTTCTTAGTTTAATATTCTCTCTGTCACTGACAAATGCAGGCTGGATTCTTATTATACAGAAATGGCTCAAAAATGGGGTTTCAGATCTTTGTGTTTGTGACTAAATAGAATACTCTCATATTTGAATCAGAGAGCTTCTTGTTCTGAGTAACAAGTTCTAAATCATTGGAACTGAGGACAAGAATAACTTATCATTGTTATCTGTGATAACACTTTGTTTTCCAAACTTATAATAAGAACACAATGGATTTTTATGTTATTAATATCATGAAAGATAGATATTACCATATTAGAATAATAGGTCACATCTGGGATTTTACAAATGAAATTTGGCTAACACAATAAGAGCAATTTATTCAGCTACTTTTCTGTACAGTAAGTGCTATGGGTGTGGAAGAAAAACTTGTATTCAAACTCCAGTTCTCCTGCCTACCTGCTATATGGCTTTGGATGAGTCATTCAACTTTAATAAATTTCTTTTTCTTCTTCTGTTTAAAAAAACACAAAACTAACACAGCTTTACCTATCTACCTAAGAATGGCTTGTAGAATTAGAAATCATGATTGTAAAGCACCTAGCACAGCGTCTGGCAAATGAGAGGTGTTGAATAAATGTTGAGTTATTTTTATTTTGCATATACTATGAGTTTAATTGGATTAAATTAGCTTGTTTTTTACAAGCTGTTTTTTGATCTTCTTGGATGGGATAATCCCAAGCTGAAATGTATTTTTCATCACCTTGATTTCATAAAACATAATTTATTTTATATCTGTACTTACCTGAATGGACTAGACACAAAGCACTAATCAGAGACCCTAAAATAATAATTCAGCTCCTTTGTCCTTCCCTATGTCTCCTAAAATTACTTCTAGAATTAGATATTTTTTTAAAAATAACATTTTATAGACAGAACATTTTAATACTACCTGTATTGTAAAATAATTTCTTTAATGAATATACTGCTTATTTTTCATTCCAAAGGTGACATCTCTAAAAATAAAACATTTTCTACTACAAAAAGGCACTCTACCAACTCCTGTTTTTACATACAAGCAAACTTGATTTTGTCCCATTTTTTTCAGCTCTTCCTTCCAAAGTTTTCTGTTAACCTCTAAGTATACTCAGTGAAGGTTAAGGGACTGCTATATGGTGAACAGTGTTTTGATGGTAGCATTTAATACATACTTTAGACATAGCCAACCTTAGAACTTTTACATTGTTATTATTTTATTTCCATTTGCCTTTGTTGATGAATGCAATAGACAAAACATTAACAACAGAAATTGATTTTTTCCAATAACTTTACAAAGCTGATTTGGCCAAAGCTTTGACAAAGCTGCTACCCCAGAAAGAGCCAGGGTAACTACAGTCATCCTGGCTTAGCATCTTGGCTTCTTAGTATCTGTAGTTGTTGGAACATTGAAGAGACGCTTCAAGAAATACAGCTGCAAGATCCCAGAAAGAACAATAACAACACTCTGGGCTGTTGACCACCATTTCACATAGTTATAGTTTGATTGAAGAAGGAAAAAGTCGGCCCTTTTCCTCATCCGGGCAAAGTTGTAGTATCGCCATATGTGAAAAATATTGTTCTGCACCTTTCGCGTACTCTCCTATGGGAGAGAAGATAAAGGGATAAACCTCCCACCAGCAATAACTTATCTGGAAGTAGAGTAATTTACTCATGATTTTAAGATATGTAATACTGTTATAGTTAATAAATGCTAGTTTTGTTGTATACGGAAAAGTCTAAACTTTTTTTTATAATGAAAAACTTTGTTATTATTTTTTGGCAGCTGGCCAGTGCAGGGATTTAACCTTGGACCTTGCTGTTAATCAGTATAATGAAAAACTTTAGTTCTCAAACTAGAGAGATTTTCCAGAAGATCTAGATTTTAGACATGTACTCTGCATGTCATTATCCTTCCAGGTGATGTTGTATATGCTCTTTTCCGTATATGGTGCAAGACAAGAGCCTGCAGACTTTTAATTAAAGGGCCAGATAATATTTTAGGCTTTGCAGGCTATTCGTCTCTTGCAACTACTGAACTCTGCCATTGTAGCAAAAAAGCAGTCATAGACAATGTGTAATTATCAAATGAGCACGGGCTGTCTTCCAATAAAACTTCCATTTACAGAAACAGGCAGCGAGCTTTTGTGCATCAAGGAGACTATCAAGAAAGTGGAACCACTCCACAGAATGGGAGAAAATATCTGCAAATCATATACCTGATAAGGGACTTACATCCAGAATATGTAAATAAAACTCACAATTCAATAAAAATACAACGCAGGGCTGGCCTGTTAGCTAACTTGGGAGAGTGTGGTGCTGGTAACACCAAGACCATGGGTTTGGATCCCCATAGCAGCCAGCCACCAAAAAAACCCCCACAAAAAACCTAATTTTAAAGTGGGCAGAGGATTTGAATAGACATTTCTCCAAAGAAGATAAACAAATGGCCAGTAACCACATGAAAAAAATGTTCAATGTCATTAATCACTAGGGAAGTGCAACTCAAAACCACAAGACACCACTTCATACCCTGCTGGTGTATGAATATACTACTTATTTGTAATTTCAAGGGTGACATCTCTGAAAATTAAATATTTTCAACTACAAAAAGGCACTCTAAGGGCTGGCCCATGGCTCACTTAGGAGAGTGCGGTGCTGATAACACCAAGGCCACGGGTTCAGATCCCTATATAGGGATGGCCGGTTGCTCACTTGGGAGAGCATGGTGCTGACAACGCCAAGTCAAGGGTTAAGATCCGCTTACCGGTCATCTTTAAAAAAAAAAAAAAGCACTACCAACTCCTATTTTTACATGCAAGCAAACTTGATTTTGTCCCATCTTTTTTCAATTTTTCCTTCCAAGGTGGGAGTGTAAAATGGCTTAGCCACTGTGGAAAACAGTCTGGCAGCTTCTCACAAAGTTAAATAGAGTTACCATATGACCCAGCAATTCCCCTTCTGGGTATACAGAGAGAATATATTAACACACAAACTTGTATGCAAATGTTCATCGCATTATGATAGCCAAAGGTGAAAACAACCCAAATTTCCATCAGCTGATGAATGGATAAATAAAATATCATTCAGCCATAAAAAGGAATAAAGTACTGACACATGCTACAATGTTGATGAACCATAAAAACATGCTAAGTGAAAAGCCAGCCACAAAAGGCCACACATTGTATGATTCCATTTATATGAAATGTACAGAATGGGTAAATCTATAGAAATAAAGTAGAATAGTGATTGCCAGGGATGGGGGATCATGGGAGAATGGAGAGTGACTAATGGGTATAGGGTTTCTTTAGGGGGTGATGAAACTGTTCTGGAATCAGATGCTGGTGATGCTTGCATGACATTGCGAACATATTAAAAACCATTGAATTGGGGCCTAGCACGTGGCGCACTCCGGAGAGTGCGGCGCTGGGAGCGCAGCAGCGCTCCCGCCGCGGGTTCGGATCCTATATAGGGATGACCGGTGTGCTCACAGTGCTCACTGGCTGAGCGTGGTGCGGCCGGTCTCAAAAGAGGACAAAAAAAAAAAAAAAAAACCATTGAATTGTACCCTTGAAGATGGGGAACTGTATATGAATTATATCTCAATTAAAAAAAATAGGCAGTGAGCTAGATTTGGCCTATGAGCTATAGTTTGCCAAACCTTGGTATAAGACAAGTGAGGAATTTTAAGAGCTCCAAGTCATAAAAATTTATTAAAGGATTCAAATCCCCTTGCCTGTTTGGTTTTTACCTAATGAGCCCTCATTCAAATGGTATTACTCCCATAATTTTAATCTCCCTCCAAATTAAGAATCAGTTTCCATAGATGTTTCTCTCCCACAAAACACTCCATTACCTCAATTGCATCCAGAGTATCATTCAGCTGTTTTCTCTCATTCTGTTTGTGGTCCAGCTCAGGCTCCTCATAGAAGACTCCAAAGTTGAGGTATACTTGCACAGTACCAAAGTGATTTTGCTGATTTTTTAGACAAAGCTGGTAAAAACCTGTAGGAATTTCTAGATCATTACCAAGTCTTTGTCTCCCACCCTTTGTTAAGGATCCCCTAGAGATACCTGTTGTATAATTTTAAAATTGCTACTATAGCACCTTCTTTTTACTTAGGACATGGAAGACACTGCTCTTACATGAAACTTATTTTACTAAATATTATGAGGGGTCTTCAAAAAGTTCATGGAAAAAGTTGTATTACCTTTTAATTTCATTTTTCCATGAATTTTTTCAAGTATCCTCAGATTTATTATACTTTGCCAGATATCAATAAATTCAGTTCTATACTGGAGAGAAAACAATGTTTTCTCCTTTTCCAACCTAGAATTTCCATGTCTCTTATTAAGGAACTCCTGCTCAACAAAATGAGTTGAAATTAAGCACATGATGTTTACTCCTTGTACACCACTAGAGCTACAAGTACTATCTTGTATTTGAAACTGGAGAAAAATTGATGCATTGTGAATGAAAGAAACTATCCTGCTGGAGTAATTGCCTGCAAGGTGGTTTGTACAAGACTGATGGTTGGGGTGTTTACTGGTGCTGGTTCTCAAGGTCACTGCCCTTTGTGTGTGTATGGGGAGGGGGCATGTGGAGGAGCCAGTTGTGGTGGGATTAGAAAGGTGGGGCAGTTTTTGAAAGTCAAAGTGATTGGAAAGCCAAAGATGCTAAATATCCTATAATGCTTAATATCCTGCGCTACACAGTGAAGGATTGTCTGATACCCCTGTTGAGAAAGTCTTTTTTAGCACACCTGGCTAGTAAAGAGCTCAGTTACGACTGACTGGTGCCGTCTTAGGTGGGAGAGGCTTGATCTGGCTATAGGAATTTCTGGTTGGAAAGTGCTTTGTTGTAGAGTGTGGATATCTCACATGTCCGTGCATTTCCTTCTGTTCTGAATCCGCTTTTAGTAACTGGCTCGAGTATTCTTATGTCTGGAAGGAAAGGCTAGTCTGTAATAGATTGATCAATTAGAATTCTGTATTACAAATGAATCTCTCTGTTTTGGGCACTTTCCCAGAATATGATCAATCAGTTGGAGATGAGATAAAATTGAGCTTCTGGATCCTAGAGTTATAATAGTCACCTGGAGACCCTGCCCCCTAAACTGCCAGTGGATTGCTACTTGATGTCCTTGGACATCTCCAGGAACACTGTGGTTTTTGATGATGAAAGCTGAATGTTTTTCCTAATGTTTCACCACCCCATTTCCTCAATTTCATAGAAACCTGTGATTATTATAATAGCCATGGTGATGAAAACAGACCTGTCTCTTTGGTAGAGAAGTTAATCTGGCCCCGAACATCTTGGGAGGTATCTATGAGGAAACCCTGTGGGGTATGTGCGGTGGCAGCAACACGCCGATTACGTGCCATCCCCAGTGTTCGCTGAATCTGCCAAGACATATTAGAGAAACAGAAAAGCCCTGTTAACATCACTAAGAAGCCAGCTAAGTCATAGACCGACATCCCATGATTATCAGCACAGGGGTTTTGGGGTGGTACTGCCCCATCCCCCTTCTGGAGTTTGGAATTGAAATTTTCATTTGTCACAGTGATGGTGCTGGGGAGAGGCACAGCAGTGCTGAACATCCTACAATGTCAAAAACATTGAAAAGCAGGACAAAGAATTGCCCCAAATGTCGACAGCACCCCTGTTGAGGAGGAAGACCTGTCTCAGAGCACACAGCCGGTGTGGATCGGTTAATAGTACAGTTCTGGCTATAAAGTTCTTGACTGAACTTGCTTGGTTGTTGAGTTCCCTGGTGTTGTCCCAGATTTGGATGTTTGCTGCTTGGCAGCCCATGCCTACAGCAAGCACTCGATGGACACTCATCCCCAAATTGGATCTTGATTAGTCCAGACTACAGTGAGCTGACTAGTAGCTACTTTTCTAATGTAAATTTGGAGATAAGAAAAGGCTCTGATAAGTTAATTCAAAATAAATTTTAAGTTACAGTGGAGTGGAGTTAGATCAACGTAGTCTATTACTATATAAACAAAAGTTAGAAAGTTAACAGGTTTCTAAGATAAAGAACAAAGGAAATGAACACTCTCTAATATTGAGCTTAACATCCTTGGGCAGGGTGGTATAAGACCACAATATGGATAAAAGTACTTAACCTATGAACAGGTAACTCCAAGATATTTGCCGAAAAGAGAAACCTTAAGCCCATGATTCTCTAATTCGCTGGAATTACCCCTAAAGGCATGACAGCAGATGTTACTTCCCCAACCCCATAAACTGAAGTAGCTTTCTATGAAATCTCTGGATCAGTCTCCAAAGTTCATGACTTTTTCCTTTGACTTTGTATTTTACATCCATGGTTTTTTTGGTTTGTTTGTTTGTTTTTGTCTATAAACACTAAGCTTTATTTTAAAAAGTAAAATGTGATAAAAAAAAAAAAAAGCCATGTTATCACCTTAAAAATGTATTCTTTCTCCTCTTATCCCAAATCCGAGTAAATGTGGCGATTACCTCTCCAGGGAAAGGCACACTGTTTGTTCCATGGCTTTGAGCATACTTCCATAGCCCCCGATTTGAGAAGCCAAGCCATATGTTTTAGCTCCCACTGGTGAATTCATCCACCCAGTTTCCCTGTAACTGCAGGTCCACTTTAACAGGTGGGGAATCACAGCATCTTGATGACAACCAGACCTTGTTTTGTTCTAAAACCTGACCCACTTTACAAAAGGGAGAAAAAAGTGCCCAGTAGGGCCAGAGGAGCCCAAGTACCTCGTAACTGAAATAGAAGTATCCAGTCTGGCGGGCAAATTGCCAAAAGCATTCCATGCCTCCTGGAGGGATCATGATGGCAAAGTCATATCGATCAGCTCCATGGAAGAGTGGCTGGTCCCCAAAGCCACTTAGTTCTGTCTTCTGGCTCCTAGCAGAGGTCACTAGATTCAGAACCACCAGCCCAGCCCCAAAGAGCAAAGGAGACATGCTGCTTTCTGGAGACTCTTCTGCAGGTGAACTGCTTGCAACTCAGTGGAACCGAGTAGTTCAGATAGCTGCTGGGGTAATCATTAACTCAACAAGTCACACTTAGGCCAATTTCAGGGCCACACATAGATATTCCATAATAGAACTGCCACAATACTTCCATGTTTGGCTCACAGGAAGTGTTTGCTTTCACCTCAAAAATTCAGTAGCTACCAAACATACTTCACGAGTGCTGTATAGAAGCTACGACCTCAGAAGAGTTATTTCCATCCATCCCTTGGGCTGCCATTTTTTCAGTTCTTGATTCTTAGGGATAAAATATTGGGTAAGTTTATTTACTAACATAGGTTGGCTAGGGAGATTTTTCTCTTTTCATTTCAAATTGCTACATGATATCTATTGCTCCTATAAAAACACATGGGGCAACACCTGTTTCAACAGACTCCTTTCTGCCCAGTGCCATAGCTTAGAGCAAAGCACGCCATGTAGGAGTGTGCACAAGTTTAAATGGATAAGTAGAGTGACAAGACAGTGGTCAAGCCTCTCCTCATTCTGCTACCTTCCACCTGACTGATACCTTCATCTAGAGCTTTCCAAAATCCACTTGAAGACTATTATACTATTCAAACCCACAATCTGTCTTCTTTGATTCATGACTTCTTCAGCACCCACAGACTTCATGGCAGGCACTGAGCTAAGAGATTTACTTGCATCTTATTTTGTCCTGGCAACAGCCCTCTGAGGGAGGTGCTGTGATTAAGAGATGAGGATGCTGACATTCAGAGATTTGAGCAGCTGACTCGCAGTGCCACAAGTGCAGCTGGCAGAGCTGTGGCCCTGATGGGGGCTCACACTCTTACCCACCAGGACAGGGTCTCTCAAGTGTCGATCTCTGAGTTCTGACAGTTTCCAAACATTTTTATTTCTGTCTTAATCTTAAAAAACAAAACAGAATTACCACCTTCTTACCAAGAATTGCTTCAGAATTTATCACATCAACTCTGAGTGTCACAAGCAGAGACCTCATGAATGTGGTTCATTTCTAAAGAAGGCCAAAGGGCATCACAGCACTCTAGAGGCACAGTGGCTCTGTAGCAGTCTCACTGAAGTGAAGGTGGGAGAAAACTGATGCCACCTTTCAGTACACGGTGGCTCAGGCACCACCATCTGAGTCCCACCGCTGCCGCAGTCCTAACCCACTCATGTCATAAGCAGCAACACGCATTCAGCAAAACAATCATCAGTTCATTATAAGTTTGACAGTTTTGCAGAATTTGTAAGCGTAGTTTTGTTTGCATACATTTCATTAACACTATAATAAAAGTAGCATTAAAGTTATGCGAAAAAAAACCGTCTATGGACCTATGCATATCTCAGGTTTGAGAAACACTGACTGGGATATTTGCTTCCCTAAATGAGTCACAGTTTCAGCCATCTACCAGGACAGCACCAGCTAATGATGTCAGAGTTGAGTGGAGAAAGCTTCTGGATTCTGATCTGGTTTGAAGGGAAACCACAACCGGCTGCAACCGAAGGTAGCTGGGCTGAGAGGAGCTCAAATTCTCACCTTCTCCCTGTGATTTCATTTAGGGTTGGTTGGTAGAAAAACAGTACCAAATGCTCAAACACATAGTTAATAGGTAATAAAGCTGTATAAAGTTTCCAACTTGTAAATAAATGATAAATTTTAAAACTTTAACATTTCTTTAAACCTTGCCTTTCACTCACTCAAAAGTGGGAAAGGGGGGATTCTTCTGTTCCCAGAAAAAGTACATTATATGAGGAAATGAACAAATTAAGAGGAAACTTTGGTTGGCCGGTTAGGTCAGTTGGTTAGAACACTGTGTCATGGTCCGGCCCATGGCTTACTCGGGAGAGTTTGGTGCCGATAACACCAAGGCAATGGGTTCGGATCCCATATAGGGATGGCTGATTAGCTCACTGGGTGAGTGTGGTGCTGACAACACCAAGTCGAGGGTTAAGATCCCCTTACCGGTCATCTTTGAAAAAAAAAAAGAACACTGTGTCATAACACCAAGGTCAAGAGTTTGGATCCAGTGCCAAAGTTAAAAAAAAAAAAAAAAAAGAATACTTCCACATCATTTGTTTGACATGACTTCCAAGGATTAGAACATCCAATAGTTTGACATCAGCCTCTTGATCACCATAATTCAGCAGTTTGTTCAACATTTTGCTCCCTCCATTTGTGAATACATGCTTGCTGTAATTAACCAGCTACTTAAATTTGAGAGAAGCAAGACTTTAATGAAGAATGCTACAAGTATGGACAGTAATTAATTCTCATATTTTAAAAAAAGATTACAGAAAACACTTTACTGAAATTTTTTTGCTAAAAAGACAGTCTTTAAGAATGTCCGAGAGACACAGCAAGCACAACACAGTACAAAAGGAGAAGGGAATGTTGAATTCCAGCGCAAGACACTAACAGCACAACTAGGGAATCAGGTGGAAGCAACCATTTCACAAAGAATGGAATTAGGCATTTATATTCAATCAGGATTTAAGCTTTAAAAGTCCAGCATAAGGAATAGAATTGGGAAGGGGGGTTGGGGGTCTAAGTTTATCTACAATCACCATTTTACCAAAAAACACACTGGTTCAACCACGTGAGAAGTGGAGGGTAACCCTGCCTAGGTAGCCCAGCAGACACTAAGAGCAAATGCCAAGGTTGTCAGGTCTAGGGTTGATGTCGCAGCTGGCTAAACAGTTTTTAAAGGGAATCTGACTCCACAAGGACTGGTCTCTCCTCAACCTGGGCTCAAAACAGACAAAGTTCCTTTGCATTTGCATCAGAAGGCCAAAACTTTATATGGAACAAGTTCACTCCAAATAATGCTCACGTTGCTGGTTTTAACAGGTTATGGATAAGCTCCATAAGATGCCACCATTTCCTAGGAGAAGGTTCTACAGATTACCTGGGATTTAAATTTAAGCAAACCACTAAAGAAGGGAAACACTAATGATATTCTGGCACTGTACAAGCTGTATGCCTGTCATCTCTGCCAAGGACATGGGGTGGACTTGGCTTTGCTTCTTATCTCCATGATATCCAACAGTGATGAAGTGGAACTGGGACCTCCCCCTTGTTGAAGGAGGTTGCCCAAAATTCTCATCTCAGCCCAGCTTCTGAAAGAAACAGCAGACTATCAGGGGCTATTATTAGGAACCATGCTCCTGTGAATTCTGTGGAAATGAAAGCCTGTTTTCAGTTCATGCCAAGTCTTTTCATGGTCCGCCAGCGATCCTTAATCATCACAGCTGTTCGGTTAACAAATGGGTAATTTTTAGAAATGGCAGCCCAGTTTCCTTCCCCGTATTTCTGCACTCCAGCCTTGACCCACTCGCTTTCTTCTACAGTCCACTTCTGCAAAAGAAAACCGAAAGACTTTTCACAACCTGTCTCTCCACTTGACATCTCCAATACTGTGATAAGGTAAACTCAAGAATCCTAGGAGAATCATCTGAACCCAAAAGCAGGGTTTATGTTTTTAAAACATGGCATAGATAGTAAGTAAACACTGTAGATCTGGACATTTAATAATTTTCAATGTCCTGCCATTTCATCCTCAACTAATAATCACATCTGTGTGTGTATGTGTATGTTGCTCATGGTCCAGAAAGTGTGTCATGCTTCTGTCCTCCTAGATTTTTTCTTCCAGAATAACTATTACTTGAACTTAGTTTGAATTATCTGAAAACTCAAAAAGGATTTTTATGAGGTACATGGTAGTCTATGCCTATGAGATGGGGACTTATTTTACCTCTGTTTTACCCACACAACCCGTATCAGAAAAGAGAAATTTAAATTACCTGCTTTTTTGTTGTACTGATTGAACTGTCTTCGTCTGGCGCTGCTAGAAAACATTAAAAGTAGACTCATGTCAGAGTTCACCTTTCTCTGCACAACCACAAGGAAAAGACATAGAATGTCCCCAAAGGGAAACTTGATTCAAATTTCACAAACATCGAGAAGAAAAAGGATATCACTAATGGATAATTTAATTTTGTCCTTTGTTTGCAAACAACAGTCATTTTGATCAACAAGAATCTGTACAAAACAAGTGCTTTACAGACTTTCAATAAATCCTGGTTAATGGTGGAATTCAGGCTCTTTAGTAAAACCAACATCACTTTCTAAAATTACTGAGGGACTGTCACATTTAAAACCCTAATATATATGTGTGTAGATGTATATACACGTATATATTGGTATATACACGTGTGTGTGTAATTTCTGCTTTATAATCCCTTGCTAACCACTGTTTTGAAACAACAGTTTTACTGTCTTATGCCAGAATTTTCAAATCCTTGATCATTTTATGTAAGTACAACTTGGTTTATTCCCTAAACAAAAGAATGGGGTAATAATTATTGCTTCCCACTCCCAAGGAACATGTGAGATCTGCTCAAACTCCCCTTTTCACCACATGGATAAGAAGAGATCAAGCCTCAAAAAACATGCACCAAGATGATTTTTTAAAAGGCTAGAGGGCTACAAGAGGGTGTACAAGTATAAAAGACATGCCATTACAAGCCAATAGGAGCCAGTTCAAAAACTGCAAGACGGCAATGTTGAATAAACATGAAACTTGCTAGAGTGCCTGCCTGAGCAGATGCCACTGTCCTAGCAATGTTTCCTTAATAATGGAGGAAGATGGTTCTGGAAAAGGGATACTTACAGAAGCAGATTATTTATTTTCAAATTATTAAGTATTTTGTACTACAGTAGAAACATTTCTAAAGCTGATAAATATGGACTATATTACAAGTAGGTGTTTTCTAGAACTTTTATACCCTATTGTTTTTAAATATGTAATGTCACTTTTTTTTTTTTTAATTTAAAAAGATGACCGGTACGGGGATCTGAACCCTTGGCTTGGTATTGTCAGCAGCATGCTCAATCAGGGAGCTAACTGGCCATCCCTATATAGGATCTGAACCCGTGGCCTTGGTGTTATCAGCACCACTCTCTCCCGAGTGAGCCACAGGCCGGCCGTGTAATGTCATTTTTATTGTTTTTGTTTCTCCCTCCATTTTCTCTGTGATCTTGATCTTGGCAGCTATGTTTTTGCTGGTGAAGGTACTTTTCAAAAACAAAACCTTTGGGATTGGCAAAGGATTACTGTTGCTATTTTATAAAAGTCTTTAGAACCCCCCAAATTAGGTTTAGCACTTAGATATTTCTATTAGAATGCAAAATATGTGGTTGAATAGATTCTAAGGCAAATGCTGTGAGGTTTAGTATTATTACAGAAAAGTAAAGTTTCTTTTTTTTTTTTTTTTTCCTTTTTTTTTGTCTTTTTCTGTGTCCGGCAACGGATCGCAACCCTCAGTGTCGCCCCCGTACCGGACCGGGACCGGCAACGGGATCGCAACCCTCGGCGTTGCCCCCGCGCCTCGCTCAGCCAGTGAGCAGGAACCGGTCTGTATGTGGGATCCGAACCCTCGGCGGGAGCGCCACCACGCTCCCAAGTGGCGCACTATAGCAGTGCGCCACCGGGCCGACCCAAGTTTCTTATCTTAGAAAAAAATATACAGAAACTGGTAAGAGATTTTTTGCTTAAGCAAAAATGCAGAGAATGACCCCTACTACATTTCTTTTTTTCTCTTTTTTTAAAGACAACTGGTAAGGGGATTATTAATCATTGACTTGGTGTTGTCAGCACCACGCTCTCCCAAGTGAGCAACCAGCCATCCCTATATAGGGATCCAAACGTGGGGCTTTGGTGTTATTAGCACCACACTCCTAAGTGAGCCACGGGCCGGCCCCCTACTACGTTTTCTAATTAAAGGACTTTAGAAAGAACATCAACTACAACTAAATATCATGGATTTATTACAACAAAACCAGAATTTTCTTTAAACATAAAGTACTACTTTGACAGTCTCCACTGTTTAATGGGCAAGGACATAAAACTGATTCCTTATGATTTAAAATGAGGTCAAGAAATTATTAAGCTTTTTCTACTTTGGAGACAAGCAGTTTCTGGAACATTAATATGACAGTAAGATGCATTTATACTTCAGCAAACCTCAAGGAGGGCAGCCAAGGAGAATCTACTGCTTACCATGACCTGGAAATAGGTCGTTCTCTTCCACCCAAGTCTCTTTTTCTTCAACCCCATTAGAGCTGTTCCACTTGCCTCTGGATACCCTGAGGGGAGATCAACAAGAGGACAAGGTATAAAACAAATTCATCCTGGGTCACCCTGTATTCTGTCCTGGGCTCACTCACTGCCCTGAGCTCCTCCCTTTTGCTGTGACTACATTCAAGGCTTACCTATACACACTCCCAAATCCACTGTCCTTTTTGCTGGGCTGGCCAGGCATCTCCACGTGAACATCCCCCAGGCTGCAGGACCTTCCCTCAATCTCAGCACTGAGTACATCACCAGCCCCCTCAAAATCTGCTCATTTTCCTGTTTTTGTTTGTTTGGTTGATTGGTTTTACTCTTAAAGGTCGCAGCATTCTACTTACCTAGAAGCTGCAAACTCCTCCCACTCCACAGACTGATCTTTCTCTCCCCTTTCCTCTAGTTCAAGCCCAGGGTGCCTTTCATCAGTGTTATACTAGCCTCGTAAGTAGAGCTAGCTTCTTCCTCTTTCAAAGCCACCGGAACAATTGGAACAATCTTACTAAAATTACCACATCCCTCTATTCCATGAAGGCTTCTCACAGCCTAAAGAATGGAGCCTAAATGCCTGTCT